ATTCAGCTGTGAGATCACATACATTACAAGTACCATGAATTCAGAAATGTAATTGCCCCACTGAGAAAATAGTGAGAATAGATTAATTAATATCTTCATATTTCATCTTTTATATAATGACTTTGTTATAACTGAAATTGTCCTCTTATCATATTGCCATTTTCTCCTGGTTTTAACAGGGTGTTACACTTGAAAAGGTCAATTATGGTAAGTTTGAAAAAAAGACATAAGTTTGAAGATGAGCAACTGACATTTAACCCACGTGATGATGCTCTGCTTTTTAACTGTGAGTTTGTTTAATTTAAAACCAATTTGGATCCATTCTTTGTTTTATTGCCCATACAGTAAAACTCCAGAAATTTGACTCAGGAGAGAATATTTCAAGACAGAATAGATGCTTAGTAGATATATATGTCTCACTCTCATAAATTCTCTGAAGTACTGGAGCAAATGTAATTAAATTAAGGGAGTCCTTCCTTAATTTTTTTCTTTTGCTGTTCTGTGATACTTAAAGATAGAAATTAGAAACAAGGTCCTGAAGAACATCTCCCTTGTATTTACTGCCTCTCTTTTGGAAGGTGTATGTTTCTATGACAATCCACTGTTGTGTTAGTACTAAACAAACTTTTACTAGTAAATCTGTAACTTGTTCTAATGGGATCTCAGCTGGAATGACAGCACTATTGCTTCATGGATGATGTTTCATCTATGGATGATGTATTTAAGACTTTACTCCGACATCATTGACTTGGAATAGTATCCTAGCTGAAGTTAACAGAACTATTTTTTAATAAGGGAGTGTTTGTACTGAGCAGACACCATGGGAACCATCAATTAAATATTTGATTCTTTCTTAACTATCTTGATATAGAGTACAGAAACCTGTACTTTGTTAACTGTGAGCATTTGGAAAATGAACGGGAGATAAAAGAGATGGCTTTTTGATTGTTTCTGTCTTTAGTGTTCAAATGGTTTTATCCAATGTACAAGCATGGTTATGGTCATATAGTCCTCCAGTTATTTCTTATTTTTGAATCTGTACTTATATTTAGTTGCCCCTTCACTGGCTACTAGTCCTACACCTGCAAATAAAAGTCCATCAGCTTCTCCTCAGCATCTTCCTTCACCTTCCTGGTAGTCCTATTGTAATTCTTCTCAACCAGATAATATGCATTCCACAGAAAAACTTTGTAAGGCGTCAATATTTCTGCATTAGGTCAAATTGCAATCAGTGTGAATCAGCACAATTTCTCTTTGGGTCTTTCCTTTTTCAACTTCTGAGCATTCAGGCATGACTACAGGTCAGGAAACCCCTGCTCTCATTGGGTTGCTTCAGCCTGTCCTCTTCCCTGTTATAGCATAAGATATAGCCTACATATCTGTTAACAGCAAACTATTAGCTTTGAACAAGTTCTGTATCAGGTGATGATACAGCTGAACTTGAGGTGTGTGTGTCTTCTGTATAATAAATTTGTCACCTGCAAAAAAAAAAAAGGTATAATTTTTACATAAAAAACAACTGGTTATTTTATCACAAACTGACATGATATTCAATTTTTCTTCAGACAGCTATTTAGGTTCTTCATGTCCCCCCAGCTCCTTAGTCATTCACCGCAATGGGAAAATGACCAAGGTAAACATGGATAATGGCACAGCTCAGTTCATTTCACTTTTGTGATATTGTAGGGATTGTTTTTATTTATTCATTTATTTGTTCATTTTCATGTCTAAATACATCCCAGAAGTGAGCTTCATAAGTCTTGTTTTAAAATTTGTCACAATGGCAAAACAGTACATATCACTCAGGTCTGCAGCTGTCTCAGCTGTCTTTTATAGAATAACCTGAACTCTCACCTGTGGTAGATTTACTGTGTGCATAGAAGTTCAAGATCTCCATCATAAGAAAATTATGTAGCAAGACTGACTTGGATGAAAGTGCTCCAGCTTCTGTGTGCAACATTTCTGTCTAGACATTTTTGAAGAAATAAAAGCTTATTCTCTTTTCTCGGCTCTTTTTTTTTTCCAGTGTCTCATTTTCCTCTCTATTTATCTGTGTACTAATGCACTCTAAGATACTGTTCACTACTCATATCTGTCTCATAGGACTACTGCTTAAGTCTACAGTGTCACAGAGCAGATGGTAGTATTTAGTGACCTCCTGCTCTATCAGATGGAAATTGATTTTCCTCTTCCAAGCAAGTGAAAAATCCATAATGTTCTCCGTCAGAGAACATTCAACTAGAAATTGAAGTTATAAGGGGGAGACACAACTCGTCAGACATCATAAATGACAGTGTCTTTTCTGAATATCAGAGGAAGCAGACTGTGGTAAAGAAGTTCTCTAGAGGTTTGCAAAATAAAAATATAAATAAAAATAAAAAATAAAATCCAACCTAGTAAGGACTTGCTGGTAGAGTTTTCTTTCTTTTGTTGCTGAATTCCCCTGATGATGTTTCATCACTGCAATGACATACACACTTAGCTACATCCTATGTCCACAAATATGTTCAGAAGTCTGCAAACGTTTGCAGTCCGTAGCCCCCAAGCATAACTGGATAAATACTACCCAAGTGTCAGTGCATAGGTGTATTTCTCCTGATAAAAGGAACAACTTGAGGTCTTCTTTTGATTGCAGCAATCCATCTGTTCTTCTACAGAGTTAAATTATAGAAAAGTAGGTATTTATGAGAAGTATTTGTGCAATACAATGAGATCAGGAAGTGCCACATCTTTCTGGACTTCAAATTACTATCATTCTGGACATCAGTACTTCTTGAACACTCTCTCACCCTAAAGGTAAGCTCAGGATGCATGTTTTCATATTTGGGTCTAAAGCTTTGAAATTCCTACTATATATAAGAATGATCAGAGATATCATCCAATCTCCAGCAGAGATTATTTCCTCGATCATATTTTTTCCCACAGTAGCTCGTACCCAAATAATAGCTGAGGAATATGCGCACTAAAACCTAATGTAATACTACACTTTGATGTTACAAGAGGAAACTGAGAGAAAACTTGGTCAATATAGCTCACCTTGATGAGTGCTTAGCTGTATGGAGTGTTCAGTCATCATAATCTTGGGTATAGTACAAGAACCTGCACAGAATACAATCAGGTTAAAGGCAGTAGAGTATACGGTCATATTAATACCAAGAGGAGACATTTTCCAACAAACTAAAGAACACCTTTTCTGGGAACAATGTTTTTTGTTTTTTTTTTTTTCTCTGGAAAGCTGGATGGAAATTTTCAGGCAAATGTATTCACTGTGAAGGAAATTAAAACAGACATTCACATATCTGCTGAGGGCAATCAGAAGATAACCACAATCATAAAGCAGTTAGGAGTATTGTTTAAGCATAAGCAATTTCTTAATTTATCATAATTGCCAGTGAAAACATCACACACCAGCAGGCAGAAAAGTATATAGGGATTTGATAAACTGATGTCTTAGATCATCCACTCACTTGTGTTATCTCCTATACCGTATACCCTCAAGGCTGTTAGTGGTAGTATATTTGCATATAAGATGAGAATATGAATATCTTACTTCTTTATTACACAGAAGAGTTTATAAAACATCATTGGTTACTGTATCGCTTGTTTTATTGTATTATCATTTTATCTATTAATGACGATATTAATGACAATGTTTTCTTGAAATTGAGATAGATTGTGACATTGTGGGAGTCAGGCTTTGTCTTGAAGCAGAGCACAGTACAAAAGGCCTGTAATCATTGCCTCATTTTAAGTGTTATTTCTTTGATATTCAAGTTTTCTGAGAAGACAAAGAACATGGAAGAGTTCTGTAATGCCAGCAAGAAAGATCCAGCTCTGTAGTTTTGGAGTTGTACAGAAGCAACTACACAAGCATAAGTGTATGGGATGTTAAAGACTAGACAAGAACTCTGGGGCAATTGTGACAGAGATGAAGTACAAAAGCTCTCCTTCTTTTCAGAACACACTGTTTCACCTCCAAAATTACTCTATTAATTATACGTGTGTTCTTATCAACGTATTTTATACATACAGAGATGAGGGTACATATGAGATAAAGAATGCATAGACTAGGACTATGCATAGTTCTGTATGTAACTGGGAGGGTAATGTCTGTCATTCAAAGAAAATTCATGTCCTTTACTAACTGAATTAGCTGAAAAATTAAAAGAATAGTAAATGAAAAGTTATTATGATTTTGAAATGGGTTAACATCTCATGTTCATGCCTGAAGAAATGACTTTTGTTAGACACCAGTATTCCACTACTTTTATCTCACAGGTCTACCTGTGAGAGATAGCAAGAAAATCTATACTGGATGGTACTACAGTGATTCACCTTGCCCAATGTTCTGCCTTCATGGTAGCAAAAAGAGTTGCTAGTCAGCAGGGAGAGACATATGAACCTATGAAGCTTTTTAAGACTGTTCTCCCTATTCTTAATAACAACCATAGTCATTGCATGGGTATGTCAAACACTACGTGCACACATGTTCTCTATACTATCTGTTAATAGATCTGCTCATACATTTGTTGACTTTTCCATTTCACAACCATTCATACTTTGCCAATGTGGCAACAATTCCTGAAGTTCACTAACTTCTCTATGAAAACATATATTATTTGTCATTTTTAAGGTGCAATTTGGAGTAAATAACAACCACAGTCAACCAGTCCACCATGTCACACCTTACACACCTACTCCTCATCAAGTTAAATAGCACCAGCTGCTCAGCCTCTTCACATATGTTGGCTGCTTTATCCCCTTGTGCCTATAGCCCTTTTCTGCTTCTAGCTCTGTCTTCTTGGGATGTTGTATGGGAACTGCTGAGTCACGGCCTGAACCTCTGATTAATCACCTGAGGTGAGCCTTGAGTCAGCCAGAGGAGCACAGGTGAAGGCAATTCACCTGTGCTGCCGGAAGGGCTGGAGCCAGGCTCCACCCCTCCTGGACCTATTTAACAGCTGGCTACCAGAGGGGAAGGCTCTCTTCTGGAGATCCCCTCTTTTGGTGTCTTCTGGTGAGCTCTGCCAAAAGGTAAGCTCTTCCACTTATTCTCTTTTTGTTATCGTTGTCTGCTTTGCCTTACTCTCTTGATTATATTGCAATTATAACATCTTGATATCTATTGGTTATACACAATTATATTGTGATTATAACATCTTGGTTATACAGATGTGAAGTCCAGAAGTGCCTGAAAATATTCAATATGTGAATATCAAAACAAAAGTGGCATAACGTGACTCTGCCTCATTCTTAAAGTCCTTACTGACAATGCTCGGTATTTTGTTGTCTTGGTGGTTGCTGCTGTGCATGGATGAGATAACTTCAGAGAAAAATCCATGGTGACTCCTCTGTCTCTTTCTTGAGCTGTAAGTCTCCATTCTAATTTCAGCAGTAAGAAAGCATGTTTTAGATTATGTAGTCTAACATGGACCCTTTTCCTTTTACAGCTGAGACCAGAACTCGTATGTCCTTTGCTCCTGCTACCTCCTTCAGACAGACCCATGCAAAGAACTCGTCCTCTCTGCTACTTTTCTCTGCCACATATTTAATCAATTCTTAGAATTCAGGCAGAGGAGGAAAGGATTAATTGTTACTGTTTTTGTTGTATACTGCTGCATTTGGGAGCTAAAATTGACCTTTCTTTTTGTTGGCCCCTTGCCCTCTCTATTTTCTTCTTTTGCTTTTAAAAACAAATCTGGAGTAAGCAGAAAAGAAAATATTGTCTCTTCCAGGGTAACAGCTGTGGAATAAGCACTCTCTTCTTACCTCCCACCATCAGGGCAGAAGTCATGTCTGTTGTGGTTTGTGTTTTACATTTGCCTGACAGGCACTGAATATTGTACTTCCCTGTAGTGCACTCTTTCTTTAGTTTGCTGTTGGAGAACGATGCTTTCCTAATGGAAGGTGAGGCTTTAAAGGTCCTCCCTACCTAACTGTATTCATTTAAAGCTACCTGTATTTATTTATTTATTTTTAATCAGATCAAACACATTACTTCTGTATTGCAGAAAGGTGACTTGAGGTTTCTTTAGAATTAGCCCCAGGGCCAGAACCAATGAAAGTCATGTATTACAGATCTCTCAAAGGGCTTATTCTAGAAATCCAGTTTTGAAATGTCTATTTCCAGCAGTACAGTGAGAGTCCACAACAAGGCCTTTTTAAGGGAGTAAGAAAAGTATTAAAAAGAGAGAAAAAAATCCTGCAATTTAAGTCGCCTCATAAGGACCGCATGCAACTGCATGAACTGAGTAATGGAATTTACAGAAAATAAATCTTACAGTGAAGAAATTAAAGTTGCAATTAGTGTTTGACTGTACTTTGTAGTTCTATGTATGAAAACAAAAAATTGTTAAATGTTTGTTCTGTAATAATTGTACAGATTCCATGCTCTTGGAATTGTACCTCGTGAAAAATGGTCTACTAATAGAAGCATAAACCTCACATTAAACAGACCTAACTCTACTAGCTTATAACATGTCCTTCCAACCAATCCCCTGCAATTTTTTACTCCTTTCAGTTCTTCATAGTTTTGAATTTATTGTACCCTACTGTTACTTTCAGGCAGATCATGGACTCTATATTAAAAAAAAAAAATCAGTTTTGTAACCATGTGATAGTTAATAGTGAGAACAGTACTCTTATTTTTACATGAGCATAAAACAACCTGCAACATCAGCTACACATGATGTTAAGTTCTGCCACTGCCACGCACAAAGCCAGTAGCAACTGTTTTTCTAGAAATCAGCTGGACTTTTACAATAATTGTCCATATGCAAATACTTTTTAAAATAACTATCAAGTTGATCAGGTTATTTAGGCAACATACCAGTGATACTGTGTCAACCTTTAACTAAGCCTTCTAACTTTTCCAATTTGTAAAGTGGTCTTGACCAGTCCCTAAATGTTTGGACTTCTGTAGAGCTGCACAGCTAGGTGATATATTTGCAAAGGTTTTTTGTAGTAGAAAGTACAAGTATAATTTTAGTATCATTTTGTGATGTGATCTGCAATGAAATGAACAAAAAGAGCTTGGCTTATTATCTAGGATGTACCATCATACGCCACTTTCAAAGTATGTGACCAGATTCCAAATCACTGAGAGGTTGACCACATGTCTCAAAGTATTGTTTTCTTTGCAGAAGAAACCATGTCATCCAGTTTCCACACACTGGGTGTTTTAAAGCTGTGAGAAGGAAGTTTGTTTGAATCATGAATTTACTTGGTATTGCATGCCATCTATATTAAAAAAAAAAAACCCTCCTTTCTGGAGATCAGGGTACTCCCATACGCTGAGACATATATATATTTTTTATATTATATATATATATTTTTTTTTTTTTTGGAACACAGTGTATATATATATATATACATATATATATATATGTTCCAAAAAAATACCATAGATATCTCCAAATGTAATGATTTAGTTTGGGAGAAAGTTGGGAGAAAGATGGATAGACAGACAGACAGAACAAAGAAACAAGATCCAGCAAATAAATGGAATACTGGGATGCCTCTGACCACTTCTTCTCTAAGGTAGAACTTTTGTAAGGTAGAATAGATATACAAGAGGCATGACCTAGAACGACAGATCAAATTCCTCTATCTGGTAAAATCAGCCTAAGCCTATAACAGGGAACGTGTCTTTGCAATAACAAATTTTTATGAAGTAGATTTGAATGCACTTTAATACTGAAACTCATTACTTGTATCCATTTCTATATATTATGTGATGTGATCAGAAAAAAAATCATACTTTGTTCTTTTTTCCTACTCTTTAAAGATGTCACAGAAGGTCATCTTCTTTTAAGTAAAAATGTTGTTGAAGAATAAGTTCAGGCCAGTAGAAAGCCTTGTCCATTGATACAGAAGTCATTTCCAACCTGTTTTGTCCAGAGAGAAACATGATATTTTCTTAATATCCCATGTCTATTTTCTATTCAAGTACCCAAACTTTAATTTTAATACACTAGCTTAATGAAAGAGATTAAGTCTTCAAGAACTTATTCTGAAAAAGGTAATACCCACTGTTTCTTTTTATTAAAGTTCCAGATGTGCTAACATTACTATTTAGTGTTAATATGACATTTAATTAAGTAAAAAAAAAAAAATTCTCAATAGGAGTACTGTAAAGTACATTTATTGATATAATATTTCTGCTGTGTTACTTGGATTATAAGCAAGGAAAACAGAAGATTAACAAGAACAAAAAGCCTATAATTAATGAATATATTTTGCCTCCCTTTCAGACCAATTTCCTGTTTATGAGATACAGGTGGCCAGATTGGGAGAAAATCCAGCATTTTTTAATGAGAATAAGTAATTATGTAGGTAAGACTCTAATGTTTTGCATGAAGTCCTGAAAATGCTAATATTAGAAAACAGTTGGTCTTTCCTGTTTCAATTCATATTTCTCGTTACTTCTTGAGTGTATGGAATTACTTTCACTGATTTTTAGGTAAGAGGAGGATGAGTTTAAAATACATTTTGATCCATATTTTTTAGTTTGAAAATGTGACAGGGAATCCCATTTTTCCCTCTGAAAAATGGAAAAAAATATTTGGCTTCATTTGTAAAAATGACTCCTATTTATTCTTTCTATAATTATGAACATTCTTATTCCTGTGAGATGAGAAACCAAGAAAAAGTTGACAATCAAGAAGATATATATGGTGTTTCATTCAAAAGCCACCCACATTTTACACTTTTAGAGACATAACAATACAAAATGCGCACTTATTTTACAGTCTCTTTTCTTAACATTTTTAGTGGAAGAGAGTAGGAGAATCATTTTGCTAATGGAAGAAGATGAGGACAGTTAGAAAGATGTGAGAGAGTAGGATTTTTTTTTTTCCATCACTTCGTAATGAAAACAGCTTGGCAGAGGGCTTTTATAGCTGTATTAACCAGAAGATCTGTATTAAAATATTTTCTCAAGAGAGTCTCATCATTTTTAAACTTGTATTGTGTTGCTCACAGCGTGTTGACTGCAACATCTTTAAACTAACTGAAGACCATTAGATACACTTAGTTCTCTTCAGTGATTTTGTTAAAAACCCATAGTTCTAAATTACAGTGTGAAGCTTGAAGTTCACCTGTAGCACCACAGAGCATCTGGACAGCAAGAGAGTGCAAAGGTGAGGATATGATTCCTGCCCTTGCCCATACCTGTACTTTCCATTCAGGTTTACTTGACTACTCTGATTTTTTAGCACAACTCCTGAGGTACCTGGTCAGCAAACAATCCTGGGATAGTCTTAATTTCTTTTTTTTCAATCTAATTTAAATCCACTGATATTTCAAGAGGAACCTAAAAATTACTGTAAAAAACTAATGCTAAAAATAGAGATTTTTGCACTCAGTTAGAGGCAGTGCTTTTTGGATGCAAGAGCGAAATTGGTAAGGGTTCGGTATTTTCTGAAGGAGATAGAGAAGCTATGCATGTTTTGCAATGTTAGCATACATACAGTATTTGACAATCACTTTTCAGGAAAAGCCCTACATGACATCAGAAAAAAAGTTTAAGTGTTGAAAGCTATTGGAAATGTATTTATTCAATAATATGTAAAGTCCATATAGAAATGTTTCTGATCTGCATAGTAGAACATACATTTTTCAGACCTGCATGGGATTTTCTATACCACTTCCACTGCAGTCCAAAGGGCATGCACATGTGTAACTCCTAGAGAAATTACAAGAAAAGAACTCAAAGGACAATTTATAAACTAGGTCTTAACAGCACTAAGAAAACTATAGCCATTATAATCTATACCATTATAATATTATGTCATACCATTATAATATTATGTCATTATAATTTTGCATCAATTTTTTGTTTGCTACAAGTATTGGCATCTCTCTCACTATTTCTGTAAGAAATGATTATCCTTTGATCACAGTAAAAAGCTGTAACATTACATATTTTCCATCTTCTACAGCATAAGCTTGTTAATGTTTGTCGCTACCATATGTATGGCTTTTGTGACTTTTTACTGCTTGGATGCAAAGTTAATAGCCGATTGTTACAATTTAAACTATAATTTGAAAGTAAAGGCTCAGGTTCTTTACAGCTGAGGACAAGAAGAACTTTTTTTATTAGTGCTAAGCAGGCAGTATGCTAACAGCAAACACCTGTATGTGAGGTACAGTCTGTTCTCCATAGCCCTCTCTGAAAACTTTTATTCAGCAGGGCTCTTACATCTAAAGACACTGGGGAGAAGTTTAGGATATCGTGGAGATAAGTGGTGAGCTGATATTTTCTTGGCTATTCTAGTAAAAGCAGAGTGCTTGCTGAGAGTAGGATTCCTTTCTTATCTCAGGCAGGCTGCCTGTGGTAACTGGAAGGTTTAATTTCCAGTCACCTTTCTTGAATGCTTTAAGCTCTGTGTTATTCAAGGTGCTGTTTCTCAGAAGAAACATTCTCTCAGGTACCTTATACAACTGTTGAAGAAGTACAAGTACAGAGCCTCATCTTGTCTCCTAAGCAGTTCCCTTAGGAGAAGACAGGTTATGTGTTAACTTGACTTCTGGAGACAGCATGGAGTATACTTATTACATGTTAAGCCATTTGGTCAAGTATTACTCTTTCAGCTGATGTTGGCAAGTTTATTTTTGCTGGTGTTTATGGTGTAGCTGTAGTTCAGCCACCGCATGTGCATGTATATGTATGCACACAATTTTATATAGATATAATAATATATATACATATATTATTATATACTATATAATTATATTATTAACTATTATGTACATTACAGTGCTTATGTGTTACTCTTTATAGAAT